ATGAGAGTACGCTTATAGGCCAAGTTTTGCGATGGCATTGAAAAGTAGGGTGAGAGTGCAAACGGCGCAGTATGGGAGCTCAATGATCATTTTGGCAGCTATGAAATCGCAGTCCGGGGATTTTTTCGGTTTCTGTTGACTTTTGATGATGTTAACGGTTTCGTTTGGGCGAATCTCAATCGGCTCATGTTGAGGCTGAGGCAAATATGGTAAAATCGGCAACGTAAACGCACTAGTGACAGAATTTGGTTCGAAGACATTTTGAAGGTAGTTGGCAAAAGTGTTGGCTCTGTTTGCGTCACTGTGAGTGATGTCAGAGTTGGGTGAGCTCTCCATAGTGAGTGTTTTGTATTAGAAGTTGACAATTGCTGTATTTAGCAGCGATGGACGTACGAGTATACTTCGTCTTGCTGTAAAGTTTGAGTAAGTTGACGTGAGGCATGTCTTAAACTTTGCTTACCAAATGGCGATCTGTGGAATTGCCACTTTCGACGTAAGCGTCGCTATTCGAGGACAAGCTTTTCGATTTGTAGATTTGTCTTTTTTTGATTGCATTGTATGTTTATAGGTTAATTTTTAGGAATGTTTTTGGTAATCGCAAAGTCTATTAAATCGGATAGTTTCTTTGGGTCTGGCGGCCAGTATGACGGTGGGCCAGAAGAAACATAGTCGAGCTTGTTCTTGGCCTTAATAATTGCATTATAGAGCTGCTTTCCTTTAGGGTTGACGAGACGAGATCCCCAATGTGTGTGCTTGGCATTGTAGTCTCCTGCTGCTATGAAGTGGTCTCATAGTGAGTTGAAAAACTCATCTTCAGCTTTAGTGATGGGGGCAGAATACGGCAGCTAACTACGGAAACAACTTACAGCTTGCCAGTATTTAGTTGTATGTTTATAGATGTGGCCTGTGTGTAGTATTTATAAAATTTTGTATGATAGTGGTGCTTAATACGACTTCCGATTAGAATTCCAATCCCTCCATGTGCTTTACCATCTGGATGATTTGTTCCGTAGAAAGAAGATCCTCGTAGTTGAAAATTGTATCTGTTTGTGAGGTGTGTTTCTGAAAGATTTTCAGAATTTCATTTACAAGTAGGAATTGAGCTAACTCGAGTTTGTGCTGCGAAACGCCATTAGCGTTCCCCTGGGGAAGTCATTATTTGGATTGTTGTGAAACCAGCATTTGAATCAATATATTTTGGATTCGCATCAGATCTTACATAATTGTGCGCATAAACGAAATAAGTTCCGTAAGGCTTTGATATAGGCTACATATCATAGCTTCAAAATTGCTTTTTGACTGATCCGGCGATTGATGGTGCTGAGTGTGCGGTTCTTGGTATGCTGATTGCGGAAATGAATTTTTGAGGCAAGGGTAGCCAGTCCTGTTTTTAACGCACTTGCGTATCTCACATTTTTGGCACAGTGCTAACTGAGCACAAAAAAGTTTTTCTTTCTTTCAATGCACAGCTGCAAACCAACACAAAAATGTCACTAAATGTGTGCACGCTTTCTTGTATTTGTGTTATTGATACTCTGCTGAAAGACGATTTGAGTACACCTGCTTTACTGAATAGATACCACATTAAAACAAGAAATATTGTTCCGATTTGAAAAATCTTTGGTAAATCGGTAGCTATTGACAAAAAAAAAAACACCTACTCTAACGCACGCCCAAAAGCCGAAAAAAAACTGTGGCATTCATAATATTACAATGCATGTCTTTTTTTGACCTTGTATAGCATATTTGAGTAAATATCTAACGATTTGCCAAAGATTTTTTAAATCGGAACAATATTTTGCTATTTATGAAGAAATGTAGGTTAAAAGGCTTCACATGAGCAGTGAAGTCACTATTAGTTACTCAACATGCTTTTTTGACTAAAAATTGCGCTTTGTCCATTTCCACTATATTTTAAACTTTCATTAATATTTTAAAATTGTGTAAAACAGTAACGGGTATCTTATAGTCGCGGCACTGGACTAAAGCGTTTCTTTTTGTTTCTATACTATTCCCTCGACGCCGTTACTTAGTACGTCGGATGAGCTTATTTTGTGGGTCTCCAACGAAGCAGTCTTTGGAGGTTATTTCCGGGTGTCCTTCGCAGTAGTCAGTAATCCTATACTGGTAATGTCAAAACAATTAAGTTAGTTGAAAAAAAAATTTGTAATGCATTAGGAGAGATGAGACTTGGGTTAATTCCAACTCGACACACTGGTTATAAGGAATATTGTTTGAACGTTATGCGTCGTTTGCGGCAAGCGATTTACACTCCACTCGTTCTTCGTGACAAAAATTAAACGATTATAGTTCCGCAATCATCGTATTCTCCTGATTTAGTTGATTTAGCTGATTTAGAGTTTGAGCAAACTTAAATTAAAAGAAAATTCAATTTTTGCAAAATATGTTCTGTTTACGCTTTTTATTACTCTGCGAAATGCCCTATAGTCAGAGTGTTTATTTGTTTTCTTAAATGCTCGGATCATATGGACTTCCTCGCCCATAAGCTTTAAGGGCTCGCGGTGATTTTACACTTCCAATTTTTCGTTTTCTCTTCCCGATTTATTGCGTCGCCAACTGCAATATAATTGTTCTTGTTTTTATACCCGTTACTTGTAAAGTATATGGGAATTTAAGATTCGTTGAAAAGTGTGCAACAGGTAGAAGGAAGCGTTTCCGACCCTATAAAGAATATATATTCTTGATCAGGATCAATAGCTCAGTCGACTAAGCCATGTCCGTTTGTCCCTCCGGAAGTCTGTCCGTATGAACGCTGATTTAGAGTTTGAGCAAACTTAAATTAAAAGAAAATTCAATTTTTGCAAAATATGTTCTGTTTACGCTTTTTATTACTCTGCGAAATGCCCTATAGTCAGAGTGTTTATTTGTTTTCTTAAATACTCGGATCATATGGACTTCCTCGCCCATAAGCTTTAAGGGCTCGCGGTGATTTTACACTTCCAATTTTTCGTTTTCTCTTCCCGTTTTATTGCGTCGCCAACTGCAATATAATTGTTCTTGTTTTTATACCCGTTACTTGTAAAGTATATGGGAATTTAAGATTCGTTGAAAAGTGTGCAACAGGTAGAAGGAAGCGTTTCCGACCCTATAAAGAATATATATTCTTGATCAGGATCAATAGCGCAGTCGACTAAGCCATGTCCGTTTGTCCGTCCGGAAGTCTGTCCGTATGAACGCTGAGATCTCACGAACTATAACAGATACCAAGTTGAGATTTAGCATGAAGATTCTTGAGATCGCTACGCAGCGCAAGCAAGGAAGTTTCTCTACGAGTAACGGGTATAATAAATAAAGCGGGGTGTTTTTTGCACACAAATTAAAAAAATTTCAACACTTCAACTATAGCGTCCCTACACGATTTATGTAATGAGTGCTCGATGTGTATTTGTCAAAAAATCTACAACACTCAAATACGTAAAAATGGCAAGATTTCAACACTATTTTAAAATTCTTTGAAATGTCGCGGATTTTACTACGCTTTCTATTCATAATATCCAGTACTTTAAACAATTAAGAATTACCGTAAATATTTCTAAATTCATTCTAAAAAGCACATTTCAACTATTTTATTTTTCAGATTAAGCAGCTGACCCCACCTCTTATAAACCGCAATACCCAGTTTCCAACTGGATTGTCTGCATTCCACACATTTAATAGCATAGCCTTTCTCTTCATATAGGCGCTAAAGCTAACACAGACCAAACCATACAACTTCAAAGAAAAGTATGTACTAGTTTATCAATACAGTCGACTACAGTCTACTGCAACACCAATACATCGACAGAGAAATTGGCAACTAGTCGTGTCAGTCGGATTTCAGTAAAGTTTGATAATAAATCTACATACATACATACATACATACATATGTAGCTCTGGCCAAACTTAAGAAGTAAAGGGTGATTTTTTAGGCGTAATATTTTTTAAATCGAAAAAAACGCGAAATCGGATTAGCAAATCAAAATTATTGGAATCTATAAATCGGTCTTTGACATTTACGTTTTAAAAATAACTTCATGTAAATGTTGTACGCGGCTCCGTTTCAAGAGGTCCATTCAGAAGGTCAAATTTTGCGTCACTTTTTCGAATATTTCTGCCTATATTCCACGAATCCCAGGTGTAAGGCTTTAATATTTTCTTCCGTACAGTCCATACGCATGCGCGTCGATTTTTTAATGTCCAACAAAGTAAATTTAGTGTAAAATTTGGTGATAACAGCACAAATTGTTGGTTCACTATGCCGATTAGACCATAATATGGTCGTAACAAACGATAAACGTTTTTCACAGAGCAAGAATTTCTCAGAGACGAGATCAGAGTTTTTGAGACTATAATGAATTCGGTTGATATCGTCCATTTTTGGTTTTATGGGAAGTTAGGACTAAAATAAAATATAATGTTACCTAGATTAACGTGAAAATATCTAGGGTGTGCATAAACAGGTGAAAAATATCTACAATACATGTTTTGTTACAAGTTTGACTTGCAAGCTTTACTTTGAAACAAGACTGTGGGTTTCTACTATAATCTCACGAGAAGACCTCCTCTTCATGCTAGTATACAAGTTTAACTTGTTTTTTTGAAACTTCTGGTTTTAAAATCTGTGATTTTTTTCCTAAAATCAATTAATAGTGATACCGATTGCCTACATATAATTTTATGATAATCTGAATTGTTTAGTGAAACTAAAATTTCGAACTACCTATTGATAGTTCGGTGAAATTACTTACACTTTATTCTCTTTAAGAGGTGAGATGGACTCAGCCCAGAGCTGACATAGGCACACCCACATCAGAAAGCCATCGCAAAATTTCGCACCTAAGCCACGGCTTTATGTAACATATGCAGAGATTCTACCAGTTGACTGGACTCATATGCCCAATAATTAAACCACTTCAGCATCTGTTTTCAGTGAGTAATTTGGGAGAGAAATCACTTTAAAAGGATTAAAGCGCTAAGGATGGTATTTCGAATGCATTAGGTTTCGGCTAGAAAAAGTTTATTGTTTATATTTATTGTATATACATATTCAATAGCATATTTGAATAATAGATCTCAGGCTTCTCGATTACGACAGACCTGGCTATAGATCATTGTAATTGTGATCGCCACATAGTCGGATAGTGTACTCATTTTATTATCTATACTACGCTTTACATTGGTTAATGTACTTATCGTATAAACTTAATAAGGCACACATATTCATTAATGTAGAGTTGATCTCCGCGTGGGAGTCGTTTCCAAGAACTCCGATGAGCTATACAGCTATAGTCTTTTTTCAATCCAATGTATAACACCATTAAACAATGTTTTCTTCCGGGCTCATCATTTAATTTGACCAGCATCGCTAAACGTTGTGTAAATATATCTATTTGTAAGCTTCATGGTTAGCAGATCAACCCAAAAGTAAAATTGTAGACAGATTTCATTCACTCTTATCTTCGTGGCTTTCCGAAGCTGCTGGAAGGCCCCAGTGGGCCGTAAATGGCATGTGGATGCGGAGGACAAGCGAGCGGATGCTGAACAGCTCCATGACCCTGTCCTCCGCCATTTGGCATTGTGATGACCTGTTTACGTTGCAGCGTATTTGGACCATCGTTCAAGTCAAGACCTGCAACCATTTGGGCAATCTCGCGCTCCTTCTTTAAGTCAGGCGGATTAAACTGCAAGCTAGCCAATGATCCGTGGCTGCGGCTCCTATGCTCTTGACGTATAGAGTAGCTAAAGGCTCTTTCATTGAGGTGCCCTTTACGCTGAAAAATGAATAAATTAATAACAATAGGTTTAAGAGCGCTTAGATTTTATCAATGTTTTCCATTAACCCTTTACCCATGAAATTTCATCGCTGATCATCATTAATTCAGTATTCAAGTTAATTATTAAGGAATTAAACTCTCTATTTTTTAATTAAATAAACAATATTTTTTAGATTAAATATGTAATTTTATAAAAAATTCATATAATACACAAACCAGCAGTCTAATAAAAGAAAACTACACATGTTAACTAATTTTAAAATGATAATTTTGCTAGCAGAAATTCACGGTCCAACCCATTTTAACGGGGTTACTTTTTGTCTGAACCATATAAGTCTATTAACCTCCAACTAACTGCTTATGCTTTAAAATATAAATTTTTTTAAAAAAATATACCAACCTAAATAATTTTATAATACAACGATTGGTATATATAAAAAAGGTGTTTTTTAGAGGTATAAAGCTTTAAGTTGGCATTACTGTTCAAGATGGCGACCCATTTAACAGGTGTGAAGCAACATGTCACACAGCTCGTGCCAAATTCGATTTATTGAAAGACACGTTTGGTGACCGCCTAATTTCACGTTTTGGACCTGTAAATTGGCCTCCAAGATCTTGTGATCACTGCTAGGCTACTTTCTGTAGGGCTATGTAAAGTCATTGGTCTATTCGGATAAGCCACAAACGCTTGACCATTTGGAAGACAATATTCGCCGTGTTATTGCCGATATACGACTACAAATGTTGGAAAAGGTCATCGAAAATTAGACATCCAGATTGGATTACATCCGAGCTTATATAAAGTAAAACCAAAACAAAAACCTTAATGTTATGGATCCCACAGATTTTCGCGTGTAGATTGATAAAACCACCTTGAGTTGAGGTAACACCTCTGGAATATGCATGCATACATTCCAACTTTCCAACCATAACAGTCCCCAAGATCTCACAGTTACTTTGAACCAAACTGTCTATCAATTCTTGTTCCTGAGAGTTAATTCACAATTGTGTCACATTTTTTCATTTTGTAGGCCTTAGAGAGGTGAGCTACGGTAACATCTCTAGAATACTCATGGCCAATCCCAACTTTCTAGCTCTTATACTTCTAAGATTACACAGGTTTTAGTTTTTCGTGTGTTGCGGGAGTGGCCGAATCTGCACTTCCAACTCTCTCTAACTCTATATCTTATAGTTTCATAGATTTTAGCTTCAGCGACCATACATACAGATGGGCTGACGTACAAAAGGCCCGACGAGTCTATTTAACCATCTTTGGGAACTATAAAAGTTGCCCACGTCTAAGTCGAAGATTAAAGTCTATGGGACCCACAATGTTGTTATTATGCCCGTTACTCGTAGAGTAAAAGTCCGTCCGTAGTCCTTCTGTCCGTATGAACGGATACAAAGATAGAAAGCCACTGCAACTTGCCTTCGTTTGACCTTATATAACTTATTTCTGTTAATATCTATCGATTTACCAAAGATTTTTTAAATCGGAACATTATTTCGCTATTTATGAAGAAATTTAGGTTATAAGGCCACACATGGTTTGTGACGGCACTATCAGTTACTCAACATGCTTTCTCCGACAATAGGTGGCGCTTTGGAAATTTCCACTAGCAAAATGAATATTTTAAAATTGTGTAAAACAGTAACGGGTATCTTTTAGTCGCGGCACTCGACTATAGCGTTTCCTCTTGTTTTTTGTATAAAATCAATTATATCCTCCTTGCTTTTAATATTTTCCTTTATAGCTACTGAAAAGTTGCCACCTAATTTAAATCTATTTAACAAGCGCAAAACGAGGTAAAGACACCCACCTTATAGATTCCAGTGCCACCGGGTGAAGGCGATTCGGCACCTGAGTTTCCAGAGTCGTCCAGTCCGTTGCCTATCGATGTCGCCATCTTGCGGCTGGTGGGGCCCACTGCACGTGGCTCTCCAATAAGGGAAGTGACCATCTGGGGGGATGGGACTCGTATACCCTGCTGTTGGTAGGCGAATGCGGGCTGTACAATCGACATGCCCACGGGAACTCCACCCCCCAGCACCATTTTTTTTTAGTTTTTTTTTTTTTTTTTGCTAGAATGGCGCGATAGCTGAAGAGTTGCGTACTGCCTAGCCATCATTACGGGTATCTGCATAGGCGATAGACCACCGACATTGGAGTGGTGCATCATATGAATCTGTTGCTGTGAGGAATGGGACTGAGGGTGTTGAGCCAGGTGTTTGGTTGGAGCCGGGTAAAAACCGCGGTGGCTGATTGTGTGGTAGCGAGCGGAGTGCGATCCGGGTCCGGAATTAGGCCCGTAAATCATACTGGCGTGTTCGGCCGGCCCCTGGAAAGCGGTGAGTTTTAGAGCCGCCGGGTGCACGGGTTTAGGTCGGATAAGGGTGCCGGAGAGGCTCTGGGTGGACTTAGATATTATTTTGTCCCGCTTAGTGGTTCGTTCCTCCTTCATCGGCGGTGGCGGCACATCAATAGGTGTGCTGATTTGCCGCGCGCGAAGTTGTCTCCCCAAAGTTGAAGTGTGTCCCCCAAAGTGATCATAAGGACTCTCTAGGAGCCCTATGCTGTCCAATTGGTCCTGTGAGCCACTCCACACTTTATGGTTCTCGTCGTCAGTGTAAAATGTATCTCCATCGTCGACTGTCACGTTAATGTCAGCGCTGCTGTCGCAAACTGAAAGAGACCATTGACAACAAATTAAAAAGAAACACAAGTGTATTATCAGTGGTTTAACGATCGGATTAAATTCAGTTTAAGACACGTGGCACTGCTGGTACTACGTATTAAAATCTGAAGAGGTGAGTAAATGACTAAATGGACCCCGGGTTTTTTTTTTAATATTGGGCAGGTTTTTATTATTAACCAATGATTATCCATGTGCAAACTTAATTTTGTAAGAATATAAAGGTGATCAGCTTAATCTGTAATCTGCGAATTAAAATCTTTGTGGCGCACGATGTAATAGTTATGTACGTAATAAGATTTCAATATAAGATGATACGACGTTTTGGCAACATATTTCTATTACAATTTGTATACCCTTTACTCGTAGATTAAAAGGGTATACTAGATTCGTTGAAAAGTATGCAACAGGTAGAAGGAAGCGTTTCCGACCCTATAAAGTAGCGAAGTCGATTGAGCCATGACCGTCTGCCCGTGCGTCTGTCCGTATGAACGCTGAGATCTCAGGAACTATAAGAGATACAAAGTTGAGATAAACTATGAAGATTCTTGCGGTCCCTACGCAGTGCGTTACAGTGCGCAGTTTATTACAGCATCCTGCCACGCACACTCTAACACCCACAAATCGCGAAAAACTAAAATCGCTGAAATCTCAGGGACTATTAGAGCTAGAAAGTTGAAATTCAGTATATATAATCTTTAGATGCCAGCGCATCTTATAGTGGTACCATTATTCGGCCACACCCTCCCATACGCCCACCAAGCTCCAAAGACGGTTTTCGCATTTTCTAGAAAAGCTGATATCTCGGTAAGCATGTAGGCCACTCTCACTCTAACGCCCACAAAACCCGAAAATGCAAAAATCTCGGAAACTATAAGAGCTAAAAAGTTGTGCTTAAGTGTGCCTTAGCTGTGCTTGCCACGAAGTTTCATCCACGTCCACTCTAACGCCCACAAAACGCGGAAAACTGTGGCGTCTGTAAAATTATTATGAATGCCTTCGTTTGACCTTGTATAACTTATTTCTGTTAATACCTATCAATTTACCGAAGTTTTTCGCTATTTATGAAGAAATTTAGGTTATAAGGCCTCACATGGTTTGTGACGTCACTATCAGTTACTCAAAATGCTTTCTCCGACAATAGGTGGCGCTTTGGAAATATTCACTAGCAAAATGAATGTTATTCAATTTTGTAAAACAGTAACGGGTATCTTATAGCCGCGGCACTCGACTATAGCGTTTCTTCTTGTTTTATAAGTAATTTGTTTGGAAATTGGTAAGCAGATTAACGGGTAATTTTTTTCGATTTCATTAACAAATGTTTTACGGTTAGTGGGATTTAGAGCTGCGCTAGCAGCGCTACAATTTGCAAGTCTAATCCGACCATAATTTTCGAGCACTTATACCTCCTGATAATTCTGAGACGGATATGGATTGATTTAATCTCGGCTCTTGATCTTGATCAAGAATATATTACATATATTTACGAGCAACAGGTATAATAAAACTAATTTAATAATCTAGGCAGGTGTGCAACTGTCACATTTCGTACGAGTAGACATGGCCCATCTATGGCCTATGTTTTTTCTGTCGGCTTTGTTTGTTATTCTACTCAAAGCCTTTGGCTTTATTGCATCATCTGGAACTGGAGGCCACCGAGGCTTGGGGAATATAAACCCTTAGCCGACTAAAATGAAATATGTCAATTTAGGAGTTAGCGGCTCACAATGAATGATCCTTTGTCATATTCTATATTTAGGGTATCTTGAAATAGTTTACCCTTTGTAGTACTTTAGATCTTTAAATCTCATGCCATATAACCCTAGTTTAAAATATAAAACAACCCCTTATTCGCCATAAAGTTTTTTGCTTTGCCGCTTTTTTAAACGCACACTAAATGTAATTTATGTAAATGTATGCGGAAGTCCGGCGATCACTTAAATGACCGTCGGCCTAAGTTTTATGTGGCGAGCTGTAGAAAGTAAATTACCTTACACTTAAGATTATTTAATTAAGCATAGCTTGTTTACTTTTATACATATCAAGCCATAAGGATTTATCTTATTATCTGCGGAAGCAAGCCAGAAGAAATATTGGCACTTTGAAATCCATTTCAACGGCAGTGAGATGTGCATGCGTGCGTTAAAATAGGAGAGGTTGGGTATTTGGCTTAAATGAGATATCTTAGATTATAAGAATGTGGATTTAATCGTAATATTAACCATACAGCTCTTGCCAAATCACGATTTTCGCCATAAAATGTTTTTGTATATATGTATTCCAAAATAAAACTAAACGTTGCCAAAAATACTTATAAAATCGTAATTCTCAAATAGAGTTCCGGAGCTGTAAATCAATCGGCTTTAAGTTACTCCGATCCGCAGAAGCATCTACAGTGGCTCCAAGCTTATTTCGTGCAAGAATAAATCGAAGTTTAAATTTGATACTGCTACTAAGCCAGCATAGATATCAGTTTTAACGCAGTAATGTTAAGAATGTCGCATATTATTAAAATAATAACAAAAGATTTTACTAATTTAAAAAACAAAAGAATTGTTTATACAAAAAGTAAAAAATAGGGCAATTCTGACGCACAAGCTTATTTCGTGCAAGCACTTTAATGGTAAATAACTCTAAACTGCGACTTTTAAATCCATTTTTTTTTAATACTAGTAAAAATATATCAACAAAAGCATATTTATAAGTTTTCGAGGCTGGGGGCACCAAAAAATTATGGATTAACGAGGATTTTCAAACTATGGTGCCACGAACAACTATTGAGCAACGCGAATTAGTCCTTAAACATTTTAAGGATGGGAAAACCCAGGATATGGTTGCCTCAAGCCCTAGTACAAACCCATACATAACCCAAAGGCTTTTTTGCGGGTGGCAGATAAGGGTGATGCTCCGAACACAATTTTTAATGACCACGAGGAGAGACGTATTGTTCTAAAAGTGAAGGAAAACCCCAAAGTATCGGGTCCTAAAATAGTTGCGGAGATTGAGAACGAAATTGGCAAAAAATATTGCCCAGGTTCAGTTCGCAGCACTTAGCATAACCACCACTTTTATGGTCGAGTTTCTAGAAATAAGACCTTCGTTAGTGCTAAAAATAAGTTGGCACGCGTCAAATTCGCCAGGGAACTTGAAACTCGTCCGATTTTGGTCTGGAACGACGTTATATTTGTGGACAAATCCAAGTGTAATATATTTGGGTCCCATAGGAGGAAATATGTTTTGCGGCGTCCCAATACAGAGCTACATACAAAAAAAAAAAAGCAGCGGCTAAGCACGGCGGTGGTCATGCTATGGTTTGGGCCTGTATGACTGTGTCCGGCGTCGGAAATTTGGTTTTTATTGACGGAATCATGGATGCGAATAAATATTTAACTATTTTGAAAGAAAATTTGGTGCAAAGCTTGGGATTTTCCTTCATTCATCAATTAATTTTAATTCTTATAACCATAATTTTAAATCATTTTCTTATAATGGTAAAATATTCGATTTGCCGATCGCTATTGGTTGACAAACGTTAATATATTGTAATATTAACATATAATAAGAAAGTTAACAAGAGGTTAAGCCATTATCCATATAATTTTTTTTTTTCCGTATTTTTAAACTATTTTTAAAATAAGTTTTTAACAACTATAATTTGTCGATTGATATTAAAGTCGGTGGTATTACATACACTATAATATTATGGACGCCACAGTTGTACGCGGTATGTGGGCGTTATAGTGGTCCTGGAAGGATGCTGAAATAAACTTGCGCTGCGTAAAGACCTCAAGAATCTGCCTGCCTAATCTCAACTTTGAATCTCATTTGGTTCTTGAGATCTCAGTGTTCATACTAGAGGTGGGCACGGGCCGGGCTTTTTTTCGTGGCCCGCGGACCGACACAGGCCCGGAGCGAGCCCGGCCCTTAAAATTAAGGGTCGTGCTGGACCGGGCCTTAGCAAAAAAGGCACACCACTAATTCAAAATTGGCGTCCTTTTGTGAAATTGATAAAACTTTGAAATATAAAATATGTCGCTACAAACCATTCAGGACTCTGTGAAGTCCGGGCCCGGCCATGGTGAAAAGTTTCGCGTTCGGCCGGGCCGGACCTCTAAAAAAAGAGTTTGTGTTCGTGCAGGCCCGGGCCTTAAAATACAGGCCCGCGCCCACTAGTTCATACGGACGGACGTACATGGCTAAATCGACTTCGCTATTGATACTGTTCAGGAATATATAATATATAGTTTATAGCGTCGGAATCGCTTCCTTTTACCTATTACATACATTTCAACGAATCTAATATACCCTTTTCTTTACGAGTATAATTATAGGAGACGGGTCAGAATGCTAAGACATTTTATATATGGTTTATTGAGCCACGGATAATTGATAGTCTCAGCACTCTACTAATGGAAACCTTAATGCTAAATACGGTAACCTTTTAAAGCGCAGTGAAAACCCTTTAAAGGAGGATTAGCTTTTTTAACAAAATACTTTATCGTTTCTCAGTAAAGTTTCACTAAAACCCACTCTACGACTCTCTCTTTTCCATGCCTCCACGGCGTCTCCATAGCGGTTTCACACTGAATTGTGGAATTTGAAATTTGAAAGCGCAGAGCCAAGACTTCTATCACAATCAAATTAGCACTCAAAACGGAAGGTTTGCATAAGCCCAACGTTCTAGACTCTACAGTTTCCGAAATCTCAGCATTCGTATGTACTGGCGTACGAACCGACAGGCATTGACTCTGCCAGTAATTATGATATATTTAGTCTATGAGTCGGTAACTCTTCCTAAAAATGCTGTAAGGTAGATAATGGCAGAACACAATTGGGTTAGATTTATTAATTATCATATGTTCATAGATTCGGTCTTCATAATGTCAAAGCATTTTTATTCCCTTTACTACTTGTAGTATTAACGAGTATAATGTATTAATGTAAGGTAGATAATGGCAGAACACAATTGGGTTAGATTTATTAATTATCATATATTCACTTGATTCGGTCTTCATAATGTCAAAGCTTTTTTATTCCATTTACTACTTGTAGTATTAACGAGTATAATGTATTATTTTTAAGTAGGAAAAGGTAGAAGGAAACGTCCATCTATGTATATACATGTATGTATGTTTATTTTACATCGTAGTTTATCGTTCACGCATTAGGTAGTAGAAAGTCGACAATAATTTGCTTAATTTAAGTTTACGCTGAACTTACATACATATCTCAACTTCGCTACAAGTAATAGGTAATGGACGAAGTGACATCAGATTCATAACGTTGATGTTTTACCCTCATTGGCATCCCAACACTGTCATCGATATTCTCGAATATGTAATTGTTGTACGTCCAAATAAGAAAGTTTAAAAATTTAAGGTGAGTAGGTATGGAGCAGGTATGACATAGATTGGTTCATATTAAATACACGTACTGCAATGTGTCAGGTGTTGCATGGAATTTTGTCAGTGTTAAAAATGTTTACATCCTAAAGAAATGAAAATGTTCGAAAAATTAAAGTAGAATTTTAAAACACAAAGCACGTTTACCTTAATAATAAGTAAACGTATAAGAATTCAATGTTTATAATTTAAAAATTTAATTAAAGCGCAAACTTTTAAATTTCAATTTTACATATTCAGATAAATCAATAAAGCCTTCTCGACCTCAAAAAATATAAACTCAAAGAAATTCAGGAACAAAAGCCAATGCATTTTATAGAAACGCTAATATATGGGAAGATTTTATACTTTTTATATACATACATATGTAGTTTTATAGAATATAGAGTATACCTTGAAAAGTGCGGTAAAAAGAACGGTTTCGGATCCTTTAAAGCACATATGTACATATATTTTTAATCGGGATCAATCTCGGAGTCCTTTCGTCATTCGTCTATTGTCTATAAGAGGTACAAAGTTCAGATTAAGCATGCCGATTCTTGATTGCCTACGCACAGCAATTTTATTTTTGTTTCATCCCACGCGAACAACACGAAAAACTCAAATCGCATCTTCAGGTCGTATCCGTCTTCGGCCATGCCTACTGTTTTGCCTACCAAAAAGTGATAGAAAGTTGGGATCCCAATGATGTTCCCAATGATGCCACCGAAGCATATTATTTGTTCCGCACCTTTCCACAACGCATTAATCTTCGAAACTATAAGAACTAGAAAGTTAGGAAAAGGATACGTATTCTATAGATGCCTCCGCAGCTCAAGATGGTTTTCCACACTAACATCCATAGTAGTAAACTTTAACTTTTCATCTAACCTTAAACTTTTTTCAAATCTGAACATTTTTTAAATTTGTCGACAAATATACGTATGATATGGCACCTCACATGGGTTGAGGGACTTCACAGTCAGTTATTAAAAATCCTCTTTTCTGACAAAAGGAGGAGCTGGTATTATTATTCACTGCGTGCATTTCTTCTAGCAAATTTATTATTATCGTTTCTTCTTGCTTTTCTAAAGAGTTCCCGATTCATCTTACAATGAAAAAACCAACTGGTGGTACAAATTTATCTGCATCCCGTCAACTGTTGATTTTATTCACATCAAACATCGCACTCTCCAAAGTTATAGAAGTGCAACACAGAAAATTTAATTTTAATTTACATTTAAATTAAAGCATCCATAATCTTATCCTATTATATTTGCTTTTAGAGACGTTGACAAGAGACATAAGTTCCAGAAATTTTAAATTATTTTGTTTTTAAATGACTTAAGCCCCACAAAAGAAAGGAACATATGTATTAGTAAATTTTCAAATATCTTTACGGTTGTAAACTTGTTCATAGCGCAAAAAAGTATAACTGTAAAACATACAACTATTTTTTTATTTTTATTTAAATATTAAACCTCCTGATGCCTACTCCTTTTACTTAAATTAATCTAAGATAAGTTAATAAAAGATTGGGAAAAATACATAATTAAAACAATAATTATCGGAAAAAAGACATTTGTAATTATACCCGCCACTCGTAGAGTAAAAGGCTATATTAGATTCGTTGAAAAGTATGTAACAGGTAGAAGGAAGCTTTTCCAACCCAATAAAGTATATATATTCTTGATCAGAATCTCAGGAACCATAAGAGCTAGAATGTTGAAATTTAGTATACATAATCTTGGAATGCCAGCGCATCTTATGGTGATATATGTATCCGGCCACACCCACTATTACGCCCACCAAGCTCGAAAGATGGTTTTTGCATTTTCTAGAAAAACTGATATCTCAGTAACTACAAGTAATAGAAAGTTAGCATCAAGCATGTAGGTTTTTATAATGCCCCAAATGCGAATTGTTATTTTCCCATTTAGCCACTCCCACCCCAAAGCACACAAAACACGAAAAACCAAAAATGCAAAAAACTCGGAACCTATAATAGCTAGAAAGTTAGGCTTAAGAATACATATTTAACAGATGCCACTCCAACTTGGCACGAGTTTTCATCCGGCCACACCTACTCTAACGCCCACAAACCGAGGAAAACTGTGGCGTCTATAGTATTATAGTGAATGCCTTCGTTTGACCTTGTATAACTTATTTCTGTTAATATCTATCGATTTACCAAAGATTTTTTAAATCGGAACATTATTTCGCTATTTATGAAGAAATTTAAGTGGGCAGTGACGTCACTATCAGTTACTCAATTTGTGAATTTCCACTAGCAAAAGGAATTTTTTAAAATCGCATAATACAGTAACGAGTATCTTATAGTCGCGGCACTCGACTATAGCGTATTGTTTTGTATGTAGCCATTTATTAGTGTATGTACATTGGTAAAGCTTTGAATGGGCATTCACCGCTAGTAACTGTGTATATGCGTTAGTCATACATATGTACACATGTCCATTAAAGTATGTATATACATATGTATATATCGTTCACTCAACAAGTATGGGTATAAGAGCAGTATTTGTCTTTTTATTTTAAATATTTTAACTAGAAGGCCCCAATTGAAAATTTACATATATTAACTATTAAAAAAAAGTAAATATTTAATAAATGTCAAAAATTTAGTTAAATGTCACATTTAAAAAGTTTGCGGTAAAAGGAGTATTATTTTTAACTATAAAACATGTTAAATATTTAAGTTATGTACGTAAGGGCGCTTACAATTTTTGACGGACGTGTATCCTTCAGCAGCGCTGCCAGTGCTGCTCCCGTTCATGCCTATTGCTGATCCACTGGCGTGGCCGTTGGAAGCCCTTTCCAGGCTATTCAGGGTGGTGGTGCTTCCCGGCTGCGATCTCCAACCGCCTTGTCCGGAAAGATAGTGATTGTTGGCACCACTACCATTTACAACTACTTCGGCAGGGCCCGCACTGTTTAGATCGGCATTGGAATGGATACCATCAGCGCTTTTCAGTGTGCCATAGGCACTACTGTTTCCGACTGTCTCCAACTGGCGGACATACGAGTTGTCGGCATAGGCGTGGAAGCAGCACCTGACTAATGCGTTTGCGGCCGCTTCGCGCTTGCAAATGAACACGTGGCACTCAAGCACTTTAATGCCCGTGGTGCGCCGCAAAATGGCAGCAAAAATAGGTGGGTGTTGCGCGCGTGGCATCCGAGCGAATGGCGAGTCGAGCGGCAGGAACTTTGGCTCAGGATGGGCGTTGCCGCGTTCCGGGATAAGCACCTGGCGCACGGCGGCGCAATAGTGCAGAGACTCAATCGGGAAAAAACGCGTAATCTGTTTAAGGTTTTCGTCCACGTTTTCCAGCAGGATGCCGTTCGACCATACGCTTAGCCAGCTGTCAATGCCCTTAGCTCCCACCGCCCCCTCCGAAGGATAAAGGCTGCGCAGCGGTTCTTGGATGCCCTGCAGACCGTCCTTGCTCTGGCGCGGAACGGCGCTGCCTAGGTAAAGGACACGGCATCGGCATATGGGTGTGGAGTCACCCATTATGGCCAAATATCGGACTTACTAATAGGATTTACTATAGCTAAAGACGAAAATTTAACTTTTTCTTTTAAGCTGCGTTAAATCCGAATCGATAAGAAAAGAGCTGAGGACAGCTCAAAAAATGTGGATTTTCTGGTTTTACTTTGGGCTATGCGAAAGCTTGTCGTTATGTTTTTGAGTTCGTTTGCAAGAGAATTTTTCGCTTAGGTAAGGGTATAGTATTTGCCGCGCACTGCGATCTACTCGTACACGTTCTCGTTCTCGAACGGGTTCACACCAACACGTCCATCGCGGGTTGAGCAAATACCCACTCTCTGGCTCTGACAATTGAATTTTCGTTACTAATCTTGTTTGGATTCGAGTAAATCCCGTGAGAGGCGTTCAACGCACTAGAATTACGCTCCCGATTTACACAGTTGAGTCAAAACACATACGCAAGCGTTTAAAAATCAAATATGGCGTTTGTGAGTTTTGTTCCCCGAAACAATCGCTCTTCTCACGCGCTGTACGCCCGGGAGTGCAGCTGAGCTTGTCTGATTCACCTGTATAAACTGTTTGAAGGCTAACGAAACAACTTGTTGCAGCCCGCTTTGGTTTAAGCTTCTCTACGCGACGACGTCTCTCTTGAAAATGAAACTGGCCAGAGGCACCTGAATGGTGTCTACTTGATATTCGTTAGGTGATCGGAGAGGCTCTCTCTGCGCTTACTCAAATAGGTACACACATACATATCTTCATATGTACATCAATACGTACCTACTTTTTTGTTCTGCACTCTGTCCAAATTACTTAAGGCAGGTACATATGTATGTATGTATGTATATTCAGGTATAATTACATATACATACATATGTATGTATATTACAAGAGCGTCGATTCAGTGTCGACCTAAAGTATGTATGTATATATGTACAATGTGTAGGTATATGTATGAACAATGTGTAGGTAATGTGCACCAAAAGAGTTATTTACAATGTACATATGTACATACATGTACATAGCTACAAAATAGATGGGTTCCAAAATAACAGTATATACATACATACATGTATGTACATATGTATGTACTCAGGTCATTACTATTTCTTACTATGGTATTCTAATATGTATGTATGTATGTATGTATGTATGTATTTGTACATATATGAACATGCATATGTATATTGTCAGTTAATAAATATACAGAATGTAAAGAAACTCCACACATTGAAATGAAACTATGTACATACATTTACATACACACATATTTATGTATGCAAGTGTGTAAATTTGCAGACTTAGCATGCAGAGAGAAGCACGGCAATATAACTTACATACATACATACAATGTACATTGTATAGTTTGAAAATCCTCGTTAATCCGTAATTTTTGGGTGCGCCCAGCTTCGAAAACTTATAAATATGCTTTTGTTAATATATTTTTACTAGTATTAAGAAAAAAAAAATGGATTTAAAAGTCCTAGTTTAGAGTTATTAACCGTTAAAGTGATTGCACGAAATAAGCTTGGATCCACTGTATATACTGCTAGCAAAATATTTTTCAAAATTGGTCAACGGAGTAACTGGTACATACATACATATGTATGTAGGTCTACAGGTCATCTACAGCATCAACAGAAATTTTTCCCCGTGCTTGAGCCATGATATTTAACATGCTCAAATTGCTTAATATAATATAATGAATACATACATACATGTACATCTACCTATTCATTATTCTATAAAATAATAAAAATATGTGCAGGATCTAAAAAAAAACTTTTTAATTATAATTATACGAAAATTTGTTTGTTTTATTTTTCGAGTGCCGGGACTATAAAATACCAGTCACTGTTTTATTCAAAATTAAAATTAATTTTGGTAGTGCCACCTTTGCGGCTACCGTTGAGCTGTTGAGGAGCGTAAGAGTAGGCGTAGCCAGATTATTATTATAATTATTTAATCCCAACTTTCTATCTCTAATAGTTCCGGAGATTTCAGTAATTTGCTTGGTTAATCTCAATAATTTAAATTCAAGTAAGAGAGCAATGACTGCACTGAACGATCGCAAAAAACCAACATTAAGCAACGACACTGGAAAATCATTTAAATTTTCTTGATTAGAGATGGAATAACTTACCCGATGTATGTATGCGTCTGAGATTATTGCTTCTTGAAGGTAGCCAAGGCTATAAAGCAGAGAACGAATTTATAATAAAATGGTTAAAGAATTTCAATGGACTTAATACTCACGAGCTGATCGCATGTTCCAATAGATAGAGGCTGTCATTAAAGAACTACTCGTTTATGGTTAACTCCTCCACAAGTTGGCAGTTGTTGATAGACTTCTGCAACTTGACTGAGGCACTTCTTTCGCTCCACATTGCTGCAGCAAGGTAAGACCACATAACGAAAGGCTTACTGATACTTCCATTGCGAACCTAAATCGGTGATACCCTTGTTTTGTGTTAAAAAACTTGAGTCCACTGACTTTACAGCACTATATGTACATATGTATGTATAAGAAAAGGGCATTAATATAATGACGTAAGGTACCACCACCCAGAGAAGTTGTGTAACTATTTTCGAATGTCTATTTCGATTTTTGATTATCAATAAATAAATAAATAGGAGTCGGTTGGAGAAGTATTGGCAAAATTTTGTAACAATTTATGAAAGAAGTCCTTATGGTATGAACATAAAATTAAAATTAGCAGTGTAATTTTTATACAGGCCAATAACACTTTTCGCAATTTTGATTTCACACAAAGAAATATCTAATAAAAATATGTATATATTAATAACTGTTTGTTGTATCCACATCTTTAAAGTTATATTTTAATTGTTTTTTATTTTTATATGTCTTAGCTTATGTATCTAGCATGAAATTTATAAAACTACTGCTCTCGAGATACATGAGTTGCTGTGGCCAAATTAAAGCTACAACCTCTCATAACCTTACATCAAGAGGCAACCACACCAAATCAAATCATCAAATTCTTGTGTTGTATATATTTAATAATGAATATACACTTACTATAAGTTTTTAACAGCTTTTTTTATTTTCGCTTTAGTTTTCCATCTGATTTCTATTGCAGATTTTTTTCTTTTGGTTCCATAGATCAGAGCGTAAGCCAGATGAAAACTAAGCTGAAAGAGACTGTGATGACTTACCCTCTTGCAAAAAGGTTCAAGATTGGTGGAAGAATATTTGGACACCGGTAGGGTTTGTTCGTCGCATTATGCTAAGGTGTTGTCGTGAAGATGTAGCACGGTGTTGTTGTGTAACACTGATAAAAATTGGGTTTAAGTACCTTATAGTACTTAACTTATAGAACTTAACTTAAATATGTAATTTATTAAATTGGCCAGTGAGCCCCGCGTCGCGATCAGTGACGTAAACAGCCGGGACAGGGGTTGCTAGTAAATAGGTTCGTAGCGATCGGTGTGCCGTGCGGAATTTTTTTGTATATTCTTAACCTAAGTTCATTATGCTAACTGGGGAACCTCTGTGAGCTGTTCTGCGAATACGGAGGATTTTAGGTCGTTGTGATTAAATATTTCCGAAATTGACTGGCAACAAGAGATACCCCAGAACTTACATTTTTTATCACAACTTTTTAAGGAACTATATTTGAGAAAAAATGCAGATACACAACTATTAAATAGCTATTATGTTTACATTTATTAATCCGGTTTCAAAGTGACATCCTTGAGCTGCGATGCATATCCATTTGATTTGGTCCAGTCCTGAGTCAATTTGGCTCTATGGGCTGGCGTTGAGTCCTGTTAAAACAACAGTTTCCAAATTGAGTTTGACCCCTTGATCAATAAAAACAAGAGGAAACGCGGGAGAGAGGAGAGGAGAGGCATCCGTAAAATACGCATTCTTAAGCCTAACTTTTATTTCCCAAGATTTTTGCATATTTGGTTTTTCGGGTTTTGTGGGCGTTAGGGTGGGCGTGGCTAAATGGGAAAAAACAATTCGCATTTGGGGCATCATAAAAATCTACATGTTTAATCCGAACTTTCTATCACTTATAGTTACCGAGATATCAGGTTTTCTTGATAATGCGAAAACAGTCTTTAGAGCTTGGTGGGCGTATGGGCGGGTGTGGCCAGATAATAGTAGCACTAAAAGATGCGCTGGCATCCAGAGTTTATACATACTGAATTTCAACTTACTAGCTCTAATAACTCCCGAGATTTTATCGATTTTAGTTTTTCGCGATTTATGAGCGTAAGAGTGGGCGTGGCAGGATGCTGAAATAAACATGCGCTGTCCCGGCATCTCAAGAATCTTCATGCTTAATCTCAACGTTGTATCTGCTATAGTTCCTGAGATCTCAGCGTTCATACGGACAGACGGACGGGCAGACGGTCATGGCTCAATCGACTTCGCTATTGATCTCGATCAAGAATATATATACTTTATAGGGTCGGAAACGCTTCCTTCTTCCTGTTACATACTTTTCAACGTATCTAATATACATACTTATTACTATCTTATATAATAAGATTTGTTATAGTCATCATAGTTGTTGGGACGCATTAAATTACAAACTTTTGTTATTACAGAATGTTACAGAATTGATACAAGTAAACAAGAAATTCAATTCAAAAACAACTAGAAACGCTATAGTCGGGTACCGCGGCTATAAGATACCCGTTACTGTTTTACACAATTTTAAAATATTCATTTTGCAAGTGGAAATTCACAAAGCGCCACTTATTGTCAGAGAAAGCGTGTTGAGTAACTGATAGTGACGTCACTGCCCACGTGAGGCCTTATAACCTACATTTTTTCATAAATAGTGAGATAATGTTCCGATTGCTTAATCGACTTCGAAACGCTTCCTTCTACCTGTTACATACTCTTCAACGAATCGAATATATCCGTTTAATCTACGAGTAAAGGGTATAATAATTGGCAACTCGATAGATATTGACCAATATATGTTATACAAGGTCAAACGAAGACATACACATACACTTTTCTACAAAATGCGAAAACCGTCTTTCAAGCTTGGTGGGCGTAAAAGCTGGTGTGGCCACCATAAACGCTTGCATCTTAAGATTATAAATACTTAATTTCAACTCTCTAGCTTTAATAGAACATGAGACTTAATCGATTTTAGTTTTTCGTGATTTGTGGGCGTGGCAGTATGCTGAAATAAACTTGCGCTGCGTAGGGATCTCAACAATCTGTCTGCTTAATCTTAGCTCTGTATCTCTTAGTGATCTCAGCGTGTATACGGACGGAGGGACGGACAAACTGACATGGCTTATCGACTTCGCTATTGATACGGATCAAGAATTTATATACTTTATAGGGTCGAAAACTCTTCATTCTACCTGTTACATACTTTTCAACGAATCTAGTATACTTTTTTACTCTACGAGTAACGAGTATAACAAATGTTGCCAGACAGTCAGAACGGCAGTCAGGCAAAGCGTCAGCAATCCGTTGATCCAAAGGTATCTGGTACATCCAGATTCATATATAGGCCATCGGGCTCTGCACATAGACGCTTCCCAAACATATCGCCATTGTTTTTTTACAACTACTTTTATTAGTTTGAGTACTTTTTACCTTTAAATACTGCTATATTTGTTCAATAAAATCAGATCAATAAATTTAGAGCATATAAGAACTGTCGGG